TTGTCAGGACAGGTGAGCAGGCACCAAGGGCCTAATGAGCTGGGCAAAGGTCACCTGCTGACCAGGGCCTGAGGCAGGGAGGCCAGCTGCAGCCAGCTGCCAGGAGAGTTGAGAAATCCCTTGGAGGTTGCACCCATGCTGTTCTGTCACACAGCAGCAAGCCTGCTCAGCCCGAGGTGGGCCTGGGGAGACCCCATTCCCTCCCACAGGCTAACTCCCCAGGGAGAGGCTGGCAGAAGGGACAGAGCTAAGGTTAAAGGGACAAGCCAGGGGCTTTGGGGCCATCTCAACCCTTCACTCTTGAGTTTCCAGGCCTATCCCTCCCTCCTCCAAGTCCTGACAACAGCTGGAGCCGGGTGGGGGTGGGGGGATGGGGGTTGATTCTTTGGACTTGGGAGCCAAATGGGTTGGGATGGTGGTGTCTGAAGGGAAGACGCTGAAGAGCAAGTGGCAGGGCCTGTGTGGGAGGCTGAGTTCCCCAGCCCCCAGCCCAGCACCTCCCCAAGGGGCTTCCATCTCTTGCTGCTCTCCCAGCAGCCTCCATGGCTGAGCCAGAGCAGGAGTTGGTGGGAGAGGGCCAAAGCCTGCCCTGAGCCCAAGGCCTCTGCCCCTCCCTCCTCCCATGCTCCTCACCTTGCCCTCTGGACCCACTGGTAACAACCCCTGGGACAGAAACAGCAATCATGGCTGGGGCCCTTCCAAGCCAGGCAGCTGGGACCAATGCTCTCCCCTGGGCTTCAGGCTCCTGAGTCCCCTGGCCATGTGGCATCTGGGAGGAACAAGGGATGGGGAGCCCCATCAGCAAGGGAAAGGTATGGCACAGAGGGCTCTATGGAGCTGTCCAGGAGAGGACTCATGTTTCAGGCCTGCAGCCAGGATGACAGCATCAGGGGACATTGTCTTCTGGATGCTAGGTCTTTGGAGCCAAGAAATTTCAGGTTTAAATGATGCCTTGGGCACGACTTATATAACCCAGGGCTAGATCTAACATCTCGAAGTCCCAATTTTCTACTCTGTAAAACAGGGATAGAATCTGGATTTCCCAGAGTTGTGAAGAGAAGCTAATGAGCACGTGCAAAGCAGCTGGTCTATGGAGGGGGCTCCGCAAACCTCTGTCCTCCCTCCCGAACACTGTGTCCTTCCCCAGACAGTCCAGTCTGAAGGCAGGAGGCATAGAGTAGAAATAGGGCCTGCTTTAGATAGGCAGCCATCCTCTGAGGAGGAAGTAACTTGCCCCATAGAGCAAAATCAGAGGCCTGAGGAACTGGCCCGTCCTACCCTCAGAACCCTTTACCTATGGCTACAACTTGAAATTCCGCTATGAGAGATTAATTTCTTTAAGACTCTGTATTCTGCTACCATGCAAGTAGTCAGAATCCTGATAATTAGGCACTGACTCCATTTTATTTATTTTTATTTGTTTGGTTTTTTTACATTTATTTTTTAGTTATAGTTGGACACAATATCTTTATTTTATTTATTTATTTTTATGTGGTGCTGAGGATCGAACCCAGAGCTTCGCATGTGCTAGACGAGCGCTCTACCACTGAGCCCCATCCCCAGCCCCTTGACTCCATTTTATAGGTGAGAAACCTAAGGCTCAAAGGGGTATAGACCCACGCATAGGCATCTGGCCTAGCAGTGGCAGGACAGGGAACTAGAAGCAAAGTCTTTCTTCAGACATGACTTTAGTCTGGCTGGTCCTAGGTGATCTGGAGAGATGAGACCCTGAGTGACTTAGTGGTCACCCACAGATCTGAGCAAACTGTTTCAGCTTTCTGAGAGCAGAACTTGGGGACAGAGTGGGGAGGGAAAGAAGGTGATTAGAGGTCACTGAGTATTAGGGAAGGCAGAGAGGCTGCTGTGCCACTGTCCTCTTCTGTCCCAGCCTGTTCCTTACCTTGGTAAAGATCTGATACAGTGGGTATCAGATCTCAGGGCCACTGAGCCCAGGGAAGTCAGAAGATGTGGGCAGAGAGGCCCTGCTGGTTGGTGCTGAGTTGGATGGAGAACCAGTTGCCCCATTTAGCAGGATGCAGAATGAAGCCTGGGACTTGATCTCTTTCAGTGGGTCCTGTGCCCTCCAATGGGTCCAATCTGGGCCTCAGTGGTGGCCTCTTGATGGCAAACTTAAGCTGCCTACCTCTCATGCCTCCCTGGGAAAGAGGAGACTGTTCTTGGCCCCAGGTCCAGGTCCAGAGAGAAGCTGGTGGCAGGTGGAGAAAAGGAGGGGCTTGACCAGCTGAGATGCTCCTCTAGAGCTGGGATGACCATCTCCACTTCTGCTTGGGTCCAGGGGAGGCTAGTGCAGGGGCCCCTGGGATCCATGTCCCTGCTGCCAGGCTGGGCTGTGCAGCCTGATTCTGCCCTGTCAGCCAGAAGCCCTCCACAGACCTCTCTGCTGAAAGTCTTCCCCGTACCCCACACAGATTCTTCTTGTGACAACAAGAGCTCTCCCTCCTTAGTTCTGCCCTGGAAGGAGGAGGGGTGGCCTAAAGCAGACATGGGGACACATATTCAAGTGACTTGAGGGCCCCTAGCAGAGCCTGTCCCTGACTGGGCCTGGGCTGCCTGCTCCCGATTCTGACCTCTGGACTGGGCCCTGCTGCATTCCTGTCAGTCAGTCTCATTGCCGCCCCAGCCACGAGGACCAGAGAGGGACTTTAGTCCCCAAAAGTCCCCACCAGCCCTGGGTGGTGCCCTGTACTGACTCACAGGCCCAGGCATGGCACGGGGCTCTCCTTTTCTTCCCACCACCAACGCAAATCATCTCTGGATGGACACAAACATGGTCACAGACACTGGGCAGTAAACATGAGCATTCCTAGTGTCACCACAGCATGCTGGGAGGCAGCAGGTCCCTGCCCCATGGTGTGGATGCACATCCAGCTGAGCCAGTCCCCTAGCTCTGGGCCCAAGTTTTGTGCCCACAGATGATTCAGAGATGGGCACACTTCTAAGAATCTGTCCATATTCTGGCAGGTGCCCCTGATCACCCCCAGCCAGCCAGACATTCCTAGTGTGGGTTCACCTGGGCAAAAGGTGAGACAGAAGCACCTCTGGACCTGTCCCACACTGGTGGCACCTGCTGCTTGGACTCTGGGTCCAGGAGGTCAGACTGTGGCTGAGGTGTCTTTCGTGATTCATTGCCATCCTCAACTCTTGCACAGGGGGAGGAACGGGGGTTCTGAGCACTGATCTTTGTACCTACTCCAGGCTGGACTGTGCCTGATTCAGCCTCAGGCCTGGGATTAGGTCAATGTTATAGGAAGCCTTTTAGGGGCAAAACACAGCTAACATTTAATGAGTACCTACCATGCACCAGGTGCTGTTGTAAGCATTACACAGATTATCTCACTGAATCTCACAACCTAGGAGGAAGGTACTATGATTATAACTCATGGAGGCAACTTGAATTCAGAAAGGTTGTGAGACTTGCCCAAGGCCACACAGATGGTCTGTGGTGAAGCCCATACACAAAGTGTGGGAGCCCGACTCCGGAGTGTGAACTCAACAACTACTGACTGAGCATAGGCTGCTCCAGGAGGGAGTGAGCTCCCAGACATGAGAGGCAACTGTGGTAATGTACAGAGCACCTCAGGGGAATGGGGACCAGGCAGAAGGAACACTGCCATCAGAGGCCTTTTAGCTCTTTTCAACCCCATGAGACACCAAGCCATTTCTAGAATATAAAAAAAAAAAAAAATTGAAGATGTGGTAAATCAGACTTGGCACATTCGTGGTCTACTCTTGTTGCTCTTGGTTTACAAATAATCAGAGCCCACCTATGTGCCCAGCGTCCACTTGTGGGCAACAGCCAGCAATGCAATACGATGAGTGTCATCACATAATCACCGGGGTGGGGGGGATGGATGAGCACTAACACAAAGGCCCGTGCTTTCCCCGCCATGTCATCTTCTCAGATGTCTTTCTGTGATTGTGCAGAAAAATTGCAAGAGATCCACGTAAAAGACCTCCTAGCAGCAGCAGCACCTCCATCTTGGATGGGAGGGTCCTCAAGCCTCGGTTGCTGCAATTCTTCACAAACTGAATGCTCCTGCCCGGGGCATGTGGCTGGAGGTGCAGTGGGCAGCAATCAGGCCTCGGGATGTCAGGATGGCCCTGTTCTTCATCATCCTGCCTCTAGCCACCTGATGACCCTTGGAGGGTGAGGTCTCGCTCTGCCACTCTCTTTAGAGGAGTGAACCTTCCAATGCACTCCCCCTTTGGTCCAAATCAGGAAAACAATATTATTATTAATAATAACAACTAGTTGTCAGCACTTTCTCTCTACCAACCAGCACCCACTTCACAAGCACCATCTCATTTAATATACTGAACAACCGAGGCTCAGGACTTTGAATAAGTAGGCCAAGGTGGCACAGCTTGGCAGTGGTGGGGCATGAAGTAAACTTATACAATTTACCCCCCTCAGTACAGGGACCTGCCCACTCTACCTGCCTGCCCAAAGGCTGTTGTGGTACCTCCTCCTTGAAGGACCTGGACAACAGACCTAGATCTTAGCTCCCTGCGCTGTCTCCAGCCCTGCATGGGCTCTGTCCAGAGTGTGGTCCTCTGAGACGGAGTCAGGGTTGGTGGCAGCTGTGGGGGTAGGGGGCTGTCTCTCCTGGGGCAGACAGAAAAGATGAGGACCTTGTTCCCCCAGCCTGGCTCAGAACCAGATCTGCCAGCAGGACCTCTAGGGCATCAGTCCTGGCTCAGGGGCTCCCTTAGGCCACATTTCTCCCATAGCTTCTGGCTCTCCTCCTGCCCTTCTGCACTGGGTGGGGCCCAGCTCAGCCCAGCTTCTTCCCACCACTGCCTAAGCCCTGGTCTGTTGTCAGCTTCCACGTAGTCTTAGGGTCACTAAAGTCCAAGAGGCCTCCTAGGAATGTGTCACCTTCCAGCGTGGAGTCACACTGGGGAGGGAGGGAGGGAGGGAACCCGGAGGGGCTTTAAATGCCTGGCAGGCTCTGAGCTTCAGTCAGTTCAGACACAGCACAGGTGAGCTGTCTGAGGACCTTTCCTGCACTTCCCTCTGATTCCAGGAAGGATCTACTGCGACCGAGACTTCTCCAGCCCAGCAAGGAGCCCAGGATGTTCCTGAAGGCTGTGGTGCTGAGCCTGGCCCTGGTGGCCATCACCAGTGAGTAGAAGCTGCCTTTGGACAGGGCTTTCAGGCTGTACTGTGAGTGGAGCATGGTGGAGAGGCCAGAGGGCACTTCAGAGTGCCTGTCAGTCCCCAGCTGGACATGGTGTCTGCCGGGCTGCCAAGCAGCTCTCTCACAGGAGAGCTGGCTGGTGCCGAGTGGTGGGCTGACACACTGGCACTGGTGCTACTTAATGAGCCCAGAGAGGGAAAATGGTCTGTGCTTCCCCATCGTCATCCAGTCTGCAGCTCTGAACTCATGCAGAGGAGCCGGGAAAGAGATGGGTCCTACAAATAGCTTTCCATTTGCTGCCAGGTGCCCAGGCTGAAGTCAGTGCTGACCAGGTGGCCACTGTGATGTGGGACTACTTCAGTCAGCTGAGCAATAATGCCAAGGAGGCCGTGGAACAGCTCCAAAAGTCAGAAGTCACCCAGCAGCTCAAGTAAGTGGGGTGCAACCTGCAGAGCAGGGCTTCTTAAAGACCACACCATGAGTTGGCAAGTCTGAGCTTAGACCCCAGCACACAGGAACCTCACTGCCCTGCCACTAACTCCCTGCGGGACTATGGACTCTTTGGACCTGGGATCCACAGGTGTAAAGGGGGATTGGGTCAAATAATTCCCAGGGTATCTTCCTGTATTCATGTTTGAGAGTTTAACAAATGGCCACAGTTTACCACTGAGGCTCATGGAAGAAAGGGAAGGAGGGAAAGGTCATGTGAGCACAGGCTCTCATGAAATCAGGAGAAGGCAAATGGGGGTGTTTGGGAAGCCTCTGGGCACATGCAAGGAAAATAGCATGTATGCTGCTAGAAGTCACTGGCAGAGGTGAAGAAAATTCTATTATGCAATGTGATCCTATATCACAGCATGCCAGGCCTGGCAGGGACCTCAAAGTCCAACCCTACTTCTCAGATAAGGAGGGAAAAGCAAACTTTCTGAGGTCACATGATAGTAGATAATGGCACTCAAACCAAGTGGGAGATCCAGAGATACCAATTCAGTGTAACAACACTCCATTGCATCTATTCCCTCAAATCATGGCACCCTAGAGAGGTCACAAGGGAGAAGATGGGTGGACTCAGTACCCTGCAACACCAATCTGTCCAAGGCAGGGATGTAGAAGAGAGTTTTATACAAATGGACAAGGTCCCCTGTCCCCATTTGGGGATTGAGCCCAGGCCTCACATGCTAGGCAAGTGCTCTACCACTGAGCTACACCCCCAGCGCTTTTTAAAGTTTTATTTTGAGACAGGGCCTCACCCACTAAGTCCCAGGCTAGCCTCCAACTTGTGACCCTCCTGTCTCAGCCTCCCGAGTGGCTGGATACAGGCATGGCCTGAAAAGTTCCTGGTATTTAATGTCAAAAGTAACAATGGCCCTCTTGTGCCCTTTCCCTTCAGCACCCTCTTCCAGGACAAACTTGGGGACATGAACACATACGCAAGTGACCTGCAGAAGAAGCTGGTGCCCTTTGCCACGGAGCTTCATGAACGCCTGACCAAGGACTCAGAGAAGCTGAAGGAGGAGATTCGAAAGGAGTTGGAGGATCTGCGTGCCCGCCTGCTGCCCCATGCCAATGAGGTGAGCCAGAAGATCGGAGACCACGTGCGTGAGCTGCAGCAGCGCCTGGGGCCCTTCGCGCAGGAGCTGCACACCCAAGTCAACGCCCAGACCCAGCAGCTGCGCCAACAGCTGACTCCCTATGCGCAGCGCATGGAGACCGTGCTGCGCGAGAATGTGGGCAACCTGCAGGCTTCCCTGACGCCCTATGCCGATGAGCTGAAGACCAAGATCAACAGCAATGTGGAGGAGCTCAAGGGGCGCCTCACACCCTACGCGGATGAGCTCAAGGTCAAGATCGACCAGAATGTGGAGGAGCTGCGCCGCAGCCTGGCCCCCTATGCACAGGATGTCCAGGAGAAGCTCAACCACCAGCTAGAGGGCCTGGCCTTTCAGATGAAGAAGAATGCCGAGGAGCTCAAGGCCAAGATTGCTGCCAATGCTGAAGACCTGCGGCAGAAGTTGACGCCTGTGGCGGAGGACGTGCAAAGCAAGCTGAAGGGCAACACTGAGGGCCTGCAGAAGTCCCTGGCCGAGCTGAGCGCCCGCCTGGACCGACAGGTGGAGGAGTTCCGGCGCAGCATGGAACCCTACGGAGAGGACTTCAACCGAGCTTTGGTGCAGCAGATGGAGCAGCTCAGGCAGAAGCTGGGTCCCTATGCGGGGGACGTGGAAGGCCACTTGAGCTTCTTGGAGAAGGACTTGAGGGACAAGGTCAATTCCTTCTTCAGCACCTTCAAGAAGGAGAGCCAGGACAAGCCCCTGGCCCTCCCCGTCCCGGAGCAGCAGCCAGAGCAGGAGCAGAATCAGCCCACCCCGGTGGAGGGCTGAGCTGCCTCTGGTGCCCCCGACCCACCTCCACAGACACCTGCCCTGCCCTACAACCCGTCTGTCATTCTGTCCCTAAGCATTTCTTGTATGAGCTTGAGGACACATGTCCTGTAGAAAGTGATGCCCCCTCTCACTATTCAATAAAATTGCTGAGAAACTAGCCTCTTTTGGTTGCCATGTGACTCCTTGTGGATGGCCTGAGGTGGGAGGGAGACCACTGCTTGACAGAGCTTATTAGTGGCCTGACAGGAAGCTCTGGGGGACACCAAGTGCTGGGATGGTGAGACTTCAGGAGGGATGGCTGCTGTGGTGGAGAGGGGCGGGTGAGGAGTGCTGTAAGGAGAGGTGGGAAAACGTGTCACACATTCTCCAAAGACAAAATAAAGTCCTAAAGCCAACAGTTACCGAACATCCTCAGTGTACCAGTCATTGCTGTGGACAATGAACAGCTTCTGCGGTGCCGTGTTCCCAGCACTGGCTTTCACACTGAGAGGGACGCCTGGTAGTGCTCGCTTGCTTTGGAGAGCTTACTCTACACTCCTGCCTTTTATGTTCTTGCCTTTAACTTATTAAATAAAGTTTAGTTTAGCCTAGCCCACCCCACCCCATTATAAATGTGATTCGTGCTTGCTTGAGAATCTGTCAACCTGTGGCTAAACCCATGGTCTCCAGAGTTGAGAAGAGAGGCCTAGGGACGCAGGCAAGTCCGAGGAGCAGGGGTGGGAGCCACACTGAGCCTTCAGGGTCCTGGGACACTTTATGCAGCAGCCTCTGGCCAAGTGACCTGCCTGTCTAGAGAAGAAGTTGCAGCCACTGGGGTGAAGGACAGAGAGCTCAGAGGGCCTGAGTGGTATCAGCACAGTCAGATTTGGGCAACTGCAGCCCCTGGGATAGGCCCCATCCTCACCCCCAAAGGCTCAGACTTCCTCAAGGAGGGAGACTTAGGGATGAGCCAGTGGAAACCTTGGCCCCTGAGGACTTGGCATTTTGGTTATTACCTTTGACCTAGTCTCAGTCTCACTTTCACTCTTCTCCCCAGAGTGGGGACAGGGCCTTCAGGGCTGTCCTGGAAGAAGCTCTGAGCATGCTGCGCAGGGTACTGCTGGGGGTGTTCTGGGGCCTCCTCTTTCCCTCTCGAGGGTGGTGGCTGCAGAGGTTCTGGTCCTCGCACCAAATCAAGTGTCTGCCTCTTGGTAGGGACATGTGCTTGGCACCAGGGTGTGAATTCTGGCTTCTTGGCTGCCTACTGGGTGAGCTGGGGCAGATAATTGAACTTCTCTTGGAAGGTAGGAATGATATTTCCAGCTTGGAGAGTTGTTCTGAGGTGCTGATGAAGCAAGATCTGTTAAGCACCTAGCCCAATATTTGGTGCAGAGTAAACAGGCAATAATTGGTATCTATCTTGCTGCTGGAGCACAATAGAGGCCAGATCTATGTGATCTCCCCTTCCTGTGTAACTCCTCACCCCAGCTCCAGGCCATGCCCTCTAACATGAGGCCACCAGGGCTGGCCAAGGGCAGACCCCCTGATTCTCTCTGACCCCAGCTGTCCTCACTCCCAGTAAGGTGGTGCAATGTCTCCCTCCACTCCGACCAGTAGCAGGGCAGAAACCTACCAGCAAGCATGTCTGGACAAGCCCACCAGCACCTGGAAGTTTCCTGGATGTTTTTAGAAAGGGAAACACAATATTAGGCACTAAAAAGAAGTGGGACAGAGGCTGGTTGGGTTTTTTGAGTAGGTCTGGAAGCTTCAGAGGTGCTCCCAGACCTCCTGTGAGGGCTACCTAACTGAACACTGTCTCCAGGATACCTGGGGCTCCAGTGCGTCTCTAGCTTGGTTCTTGGTGTGAGTCCTGAGTGGTACTCCTATATCTTCCCCACCTCCCCAAGGACTTTCCTGCATGCCTCTAAGGGTTCTGCCACAGTCCTGATCCACCTGGGTGGAACATGCCTGCTCTCTCTTGCACCTGGATTTCTCGCCTGAGTATAAGTCTCCCTGGTCACTGGCCTGGCTGCTGTCTCCTTGTAACAATATTGCTTTTGTCTGTTGTAATGGACTGAAGGTTGATACCCGCCCCCCAAACTCACAAGTTGAAATCTCAGCTGCCAAGGTGATAATACGAGGAGGAGGAGATTTCAGGAGGTGATTAGGTCATGAGAGCAGAGCCCTTATGAATGGGATCAGTCCCTTAAAAAAGAGACCCCAGAGAGATCCCTATCCCTTCCACATTGAGGATATAGCTAAATGGCACTAGTGATGAACACAGAGGATGCCCTCATCAGATACCAAATTTGCTGAGGTCTTTATCTTAGACTTTCTAGCTTCTAGGACTGTGAGAAGGAAATGCCTGCTGTTTATGAGCCTAACCCTAACCCTAACCCTAACCCTAACCCTAACCCATGGTTTATGGCATTTTGTTATAGCAGCCCACATAGACTCAGGCCACCGCCCAGCCTCTGAAGCACTCTTGCTTTGCATGGGGAATTTCCTTCTGATGAGTTGGGGTGAGGGGTTGTTTTTGTTTTTGGTACCAGGGATTGAGCCCAGAGGCGCTTAAACAGCCATATCCTCAGGGTCTTGTTAAGTTGCTTAGGGCCTTGCTAAATTGCTAAGGCTGGCTTTGAACTTATGATTCTCCTGCCTTACCCTCCCTGGCCAGCTGCTGGAATTCAGGTGAGCACTACCACACAGGGCTCTCTGATGAGTTTTGGGTTTGAGGGGACTCAGAGGATGCCTCCCATTATAGGCTCTAAAAGTGCCACTCTCTTGCATTCCAGCCTCTAGTGCCTTGAGTCAGTGACCCAGGGCCTCTAATCAGCAAATCAGATCTGATTGCCCCAAGCTGGTGTGAAAGCAGAGGTAGTGGAGAGGCTTTTCTGTTTGCAATCAGTTTGCAAACTTTCTTTTTTTTTAATATTTATTTTTTAATTGTATTTGAACACAATATCTCTATTTATTTATTTATGTAGTGCTGAGGATCGAACCCAGGGCCTCATGTGCAAGGCGAGTGCCCTACCGCTGAGCCATAACCCCAGCCCCACCAGTTTGCAAACTTTTTGTTTGCAGTTTGCAGCCAGGCTAGAGCCTCAGTCTACAGTTTAGTTTTCGAAGTGGCCACCAGGCAAGCTGAGCTGTCCTGTCCCTGTGGTGCCTGCATAGCTGTTCTCAGTGGTTTAATTCTGGGAAGTGATTGTGGCCATGTTCCTCCCTTAGTTTCCCTTATTGTCTATTTTCCAAAACAAATGCTCCAGCTTTCCTAGAAATTTTCTTGAAATTCCTAAAAATAGTTTGATAAATTCTGTTTCTATTTATATCTTCCAGAACAGGTATCTGTGGCTAGCACTTAAGAACATTCATTGACAGACTCCTTAGTCTTCAGGGAGATTTCCCTTTTCTTGGCCCTTAAAACCCACACCCTCATCCCTGCCCTGCTGCAGGTACTCCTACTGGCTTGTCTGAGGTGGAGCTGGGTCTGTCTCTCAAGGAAGGCAGCCTCCTCTTTTGTTTCAAGTCAGTGTGCAGATTTAGTCCCCTGTGGCCCAGTCGACCCCAGCAGCTGAGACGATGGCACAACTGAGGAGATTAGGAAATGACCATCTGTTCTCAGCTTGGGCAACCAGCCCCATCTGCCTTTTTCAAAGCCTCTCGGACATCTGCTCTCAGATCTCCTGTGAGTTCCACGGACTAGAACTTCTGAAATCACGAGTCACAATAAACCTTCCTCTTTTTAAGTTGATTATCTTAGATATTTGTTACAGTATTGGACAGATGATGAACCCACCTTTAAGGAACACACATGCATATCTGTATGTGACCATATAAGAAGATGAAAGACTCCAGGGACAGCTAGACCTGGGTCATCTCACTGGGAGAGAATGCTGCTTGACAGTGCATGCCAACTGCCAACAGGAGACCCCAAGGAACCAGAAGGAAGGAGACCATGAAACAGATAGATGGCTTCAACTGTTTCATGAGTTCTCTATGCAGGCATTTGAAGAATGCAAAGGGAAAGGGGGTTGAGAAAGGAAAACAGGGGATAAAAGAGAAGAATAATCCTCCCTCCCCACCATGATGACCAGTGAGAAATGTTCAGTGGCAAGGACTATAGAATTTTTTACAGCAATAGAGCTGATATCATTGCTCACTAGTATGAGGGAGTTTTTTAAAGCACACCATCTGTACCTCTTGTGCGACCCTCATGACAGACCGCGACATCAAAGGTGCAGTAGGTGAGGTACAGGCAGTTCAAAATGGTGAGGCATGTTACCTAGCAAGTGTAGAGATGGAATTTGACCCAGGAACACAACTTTTGTCTGCCAGCCTGTGATGCTAAGGATTCTTGTGGAGCAGAGGAGGCCCCTGCATGAGGGACAGGCTCGGGTTCTACCCCATCATATTGGAATCCCAGTGTCTGGCTTCCATGATACAGAAATTTGGAAACATTGGCAACCACAGGGCTCCTCTTAGGTTGCAGGGTTTTACCTCCTACTTTGTACATTTATACAGTACTGGGATTTCAGATAAACTTTTAGCATTACTTGTGAATTGTGATAAAGTATCTATAACATGAAACTTACCATTTTTAACCATTTTTAGGTGCACATTCAGTGGCATTAATTATATCCACAGTGTTGTGCTATCACCATCGCTTTCTGTTTCCTAAATTTTTTCATCACCCCAAACAAAAAACTCATCCACTAAGGTCTGGTGAATGATGCTGCTGTGAACGTGGGCATATGTATTATCTGCTCCAGTCCCTGCTTTCAGTCCTTTGGGGTGTATATCTAGAAGTGGGATTGCTGGGTCACGTGGTCATCCTGTTTAATTTGTTAAGGAATTGCAATAGTGGGTGTTTGTGTGTATACCTGGGGATTGAACCCCTGGCTGAGCTACCTCCCCAGCCCTTTTTTAGTTTTTATTTTGAGACAGAGTCTTACTAAGTTGCTGAGGCTGTCCTCTAACTTGTGATCCTCCTGCTTCAGCTTCTCTGTGATTACAGGTGTGTGCCACTGGGCCTGGCTGCCATAGTGTTTTCTATAGCAGTTACACCATTTTACATGTCACCAGTAATATACAAGGGTTCCTATTTCTTTACATCTTCTCTAACCCTTCTTATTTTCTTTCTTTCTTCTTCTTCTTCTTTTCAATAATAGCCAACGT